GGATTGAAAGTCACCTGCATAACAACTCTCAGAATGACTGACATTGCATGCAGAGTAGACAAATTAAGGTACAATTTCTTTCTTTCGAGGCAGAAAAAAAACCTTTGGAATTTGAGGCCCTGCGAGGGAAAATTGCAGCAATCATGTCTGCAGTGATTCAGTAATGCAACCCATCTGGCTTCAATTTGCATACCTTCATTGTTAAAAAGGGCTCTTTTGTTGCATTGGCAGTACCCCTGCCTCTGAGCAAGGATGCTCAAGCCCAGAGGTGAGTCATAACATTTCTGATCAGGTTGATTAAAAAATATCTAGATCATCCATTAACCCAGAATGCACATTCAGGACAATAGCCTTCAGCAATCATGACCATTCCACTGTATGTACTACTCATCTCCTTACCACGTCAGCTAAGCAAATGGAATCAGACAAAGGCAGTTAAACATGGCATCTGAAGTTTCCAATTCACACATACATCTTATAGTTAGTACTGGAAGACGACACATCACAGTTGTCACATTGAACTGTAGGTGCTCCAGGACATGGTCTGTGGAAGGCAGCCTTTTTTGAGGGATGGGAGATGTTATCTTGATAGCATCAATTTGCGGCACGATGGCTCCGTGGTTAGCACTGCTGTCTCACAGCGCCAGGGACCCGGGTTCAATTCCAGCCTTGGGTGACTGTCTGTGTGGAGTTTGCACGTTCTCTCCGTGTCAGCGTGGGTTTCCTCCGGGTGCTCCAGTTTCGTCCTACAGTCCAAAGATATGCAGGTTAGGTGGATTGGTCTAAGATTGGTCTAAGCCCAGGGATGTTTAGGTTAGGTGAGTTAGACATGGGAAATTAGGGGAATGGGTCTGGGTAGGATGCTGTTTGGAGGGGCGGTGTGGACTTGTTGGGCCAAATGGCCTGTTTCTTCTCTGTAGGGATCCTATGATCTATGAGCTTACTGGCAGAATTCCATTTCCCTCATGTATCATGAAAAGTCTAGTTGTGCAACGTTTTTGTGGATATGACACCCCTCAGGGCTCTTTATAAAGGCCTGACAATGACCTCCTTGGGAAGCCTACATGTCACACTGTGTAAGGGTAAGACATTGGGCTTCATTGTGATGAAGTGAGGGACCAGGAGTTCCTTCAATAAAATTCAATTATTTTTCTGACATTTCTCACAGATTATCCTCCCACACATTTCATATGGAGATCACTGTGGCTGCGGTGCTTGTGGTTTACTTTCAACTTGGAAGACAATGTAAATGAAGACAGTGATTACTTTGTCAGGGAGGTCAGCAAGAACAGTGACCTCCAGCAGCTGCTCCCTAGCCTCCAAAGGCAGCGGTAGCAGGTGAAGACAGGGGGAGAAAGATGAGACCCTGCACCCACAGGCCTCACTGTCACTTTCTTCAACCCTCTGAATGATAACGTAGGCACTGATTAAGGATGTCCTAGCTATTTCACCAAACTGTGTCATCTGCTGGAGCAGGATGTGCAGTCAAAAGGACTGTTTGGCAAACCTATCCCACTATGAACTGCACCTCCCCACCATTGTTTTGAGACCAATAAATTTCCAGCCTGCAGAGTTGGCCAACTGAAAAGGATTCCTCCTCCATCAATGTTCAAATTATGTGACCATCAATGCCAAATTTTGGAGGTTTGCATTAGATACCTCAGGGCTGTCTAATGTCCTTAGGCCACACAAGCATTTCTTCTGGGAGGTAACAGGTCACAGATATCTACAGCACAGAAAAGACTCCAGCCCATTGCTTCCCTGCTGATCAAAAACAACTATCTAATTATTCTAATCCCATTTTTCAGTACTTGGCCCACAGCCTTGTAAGCATTGACATCACAAGTGCACACCTAAATGCTTTTAAAATGTTACAAGGGTTTCGGCCCCTACCACCCTTATCGACAGTGAGTTTGAGATCCCTGCCTCATTCTGGGTGAAAATGTTTTTCCTCATGTCCCATCTAATCCTTCTGCCCCTTAACTTAAATCTGTGTCCCCTGGTCATTGATCCCTCGAGCAAGGGGAAAAGCTCCTTCCTGTCTACTCCACCTATGCCCCTCATGTACCTTCTCCAAATATGGATCATGAAACCTTTATGTAACCATCAGTCTGATGCTGAATGAAGATACAATACTGCTCATGCTTTCCGCAGGGCCTTAGTGGAACAGATCATAGGCCTCTTTAAGATGGGGTTTGATCTCGGACTGTTCTGGTAGAGCTTTGCAGAATAGACCAGAAAAGGTGTCCTGCATCATTGGCACATCCTTCAGAACTGGACCTAACAAAGTGGGGATATCCTGGATGCAGATGAAATCTTCTGAGGCTGGAATCATTGAGCTTGAGAGGCCAGAGATAACCTCATTGTAATTTGCTTTCAGGATGAAAGAGCTAGATTTGGACTTTATTTAATCATCCAACATTCTGTTGATAATCTAGCAAGCAGCCCCTGCTTAGTACAAAGGATATGTGGGCCTTATTTCTTATCAGTCTTTGACCTTTTAATTTGCCAAATAAATGACTCATCATCCACCCGATTGCATGCTTGATATTTTTGGCTGATCTGACTTTCGAGTATCTGCATATTATATGTCATACTAGTAGCAGGCAGTGAGACAACGTACTAACAACACATGGCATCAAAGTCAGGTCGCTGTTAAGGTTGCTCTCAGGTTATCATAACTGAATACTTTGCAGTGAAATTTCTCATGATTGCCGGCAGGTTGAGAGAAATCCTAAAGAATCTCCTTTCAACCTTTCCATCATTGAAAACCCTTCAATGTTTTGAAGTGCGAGTAGTCTGTTAACTTGCCCTGAAATGCTTGACAATCCCTTGGGGTGATGCTGAACTTGTGAGAAGCAACGCTTTGTGTGGCTTCTCTGGCAGATCAATACACTATGGTTGCTCACATAAGCTGCCCAAACTACATCTCCCAGCCTTGAATGGCAGTATGCTGCCTGGAAAAGTTGAAACATGGAATGAAATTTTGCCTTCAGAGATGTGTAAGATCATAATACTCTACTTTCACTCACAAAGTGGGTGTAAGTGTGGACAGATGTGTGCAGGCCAGGTTTAACCATAATCTTGCACAGTTTTCTTTTTAAATTCATTCATGTATTCATGGGATGTAGGCATTGTTGGATGTGCCAGCATTTATTACCCATCCCATATAGGCCTTGAACTGAGTGACATGTTAGGCCATTTCAGAAGTCAGTTAAAAGGGAAACACCTTGCTGTGGATCTGAGTCACATGTAGACCAGTGCAGGTAAGAATAACAGATTTGCTTCCTTTCAGAACATGAGTGAACAAGGCTTTTTTTTATGATAACTGACAAAGGTTACGTGATCACCATTAAACTAGTGTTTAATTCCAGTTTTTCTGTTAAACTTAAATTTCACCAGTGTCAGTAATGTGCTCATCAGATTGTACGCCCAAGCCTAAGAGTATGCACAGAGGTGCAAGTGTCTGAGCTGGTGGAAGGTGCAGGTGAAAACCTTGTTGGTGTATCCTGTGAGCTTTCAGTTCATTCTTTATTCGAGTTGGAAGAGGAGGTGAAGTTGGCTTCTTCCTTGTGAAAGTTGGCTGGTGCCGGTAATGCCCGTGTGAGAGAAGAGAGGGAATTTGCTGTCGAAAATGGATAAAAGCTTGTGCAGTCTTGGAATAAACTAGCACTGGTATTAATAGGAGAGCAATGCAGCACAACACCATGTACTTTAATGGATTGGCTGGCCCTTGCGGTCTCTCTGTCCCGATATGAATGTCTGCTCTCTTCTCCGGCTTGAGCAAAAATGTTTCACCTCATGTAGATTGAGGAGCTTGATGAACACGCCTCTGCCATCTGTCTCAATTCTTTTGACCGCATTGTGAGCCAGTTTCGCCTGTAATGAGACAAAGGGGAGGACTGAGTAAGATGGAAGGGGTCTACAGCCCCCAACCTCCTCCTCCACCATATTTCATGATGTTCAGATTAGTAATGGGGGGGGGAGGAATGGATATCATCGACATTAAGATACTTTCCAATACTGTTAAGCAATTTAATCCTTTCCAGATTGCACATTGCCTGTCCGCCTCATCAACAAAGTAGTGAACGAATTTCCTTCCAGACTTGGATGATGGGAAAATAGAACATTTAGCAGGAGTATGCTCCTTTCACACTGTATCAATCAAAATGGATAACAATGTCAATGCCTTCAATCCTTTTGGTGCTATTCCAATGAATGTTTAATGCTACCATTGTTGCCTGTGCAGAGAAAACAAAATCTTTAACAGCACGTTGTGTCTCTCACTTTGGCTTATTCATGTTTGGATACTGGAATGAGTAACTCTATTCATTCATGTTAAAAGGAAATCTGGCTTGCCTGACAGCTGCTGCTCTGATTCACTCCTCCTCCTTATCCTTTGTACACTATTTTTATTGCAACCTTGCGCATTACCAGACTTTTCAAGTGACATCATCACCATCACCATTTGTGTCTAGAGATAATTGAATCTGAAAGATAGAATTGACTGCTTTTGCTGGCCTCCAGTTGTTAAGCATCAGTCAACAGTGCAACCTGGTCATTTGGAAACAGAAATCTGGAATTAACATTGCATGTATCTTTATTCTATAATGTACTAAATTGCAATTTTCTATAATATAATAAAAATTTCTGCCAAAGTCACAAAAGCACCAGCCATACAAACATCTATGATTAAACATTCTGTTTCCAATTCAGATCTTACAAGTTGACTTATTTTCAACACGCCAATAGAACTGCCCGTGCATATTAGTGTGTATCTTGCAATGATTGGGGATACACAATGTCCTAGAAAAACAATGAAAGTGACCAGTCAGAGGGAAACAAATCAGCTGAGGGATAATTATAGTGAAGCTGGAGTCATTTTGAAAACCTTGAGATTCAGTTACTTGACCTATAAAACAACAGCACAATGAAAGCCTTGTTTCCCCCTCATTTATTAAAATTTCTGTCAGGCTGTATCTAATCGGTAAATTGAATGCAGCTGTTGTAGTCAAATTTAAACTCAAGGAGAACAGTTTAATCCTATTGGGAGCAGGCCTTGCAGAGTTTGATCAGTCATGTGTTTACATGTCCTGGTGATGGTGATTTCAAAAGTATGTTAGTATTAGTTGCTGTGATCTTTTTAACTTCCGTTTCCTCTTCCTTTGACTATACCTCTTCCAGAAGCACCATGTTTGAGACTGGGTGCTGTTTTCCATCACTTTCGAATGACGTCAGGCTGCTGTTTGTGTTCATGTACTTTTTGAGTCACCTAGAGGTGGTGTCTCTGCCACAGAAAGCAGCTGGGGCCAAAACATTGAATGTTTTCAAGAAGTTTGATATAGTTCTTAGGGCTAAAGGGATCAAAGGGTATGGGAAAAAAGTGGGAACGAAAGTAGTGAGTTGGACAACCAGGCATGATCATATTGAATAGCTGGAAGGCTCTGTTTGTCTAAGTGAAGCCGTTTCAGAGACATTGCTGTGGGTCTGGACTCACATGAGGGTCAGAAGGATGGCAGACTACCTCCTCTGAAGGACATTAATAAACAAGAGTTACAGATACTAGCTTTAATATTGCAAATTTATTAATCAAATTCCACCAGCCATGACAGAGATCTGAACACATGACCCCAGGTAATTAACCTGGATTTCTAGATCATTAATCCATTGACATTCTCGTGATACTGCCATCGCCTATGTACAGAGATAGTTGATAGTCTTGCAGTGAGGTTCAGAATGGATAGGAAATGCCCTTTATGAGTGTTGTATGAATGACTAAATGTTATTTAATGTTGTTATTTTGTTTGTCATCCAGGTCCGAATGCCGCTTTGACATTTAAAATAATCTCGGGGGATCGTAATGGACAGTTTGCAGTTGACAGAAATGCTGTACTTACGGTCCAAAAGACATTAGATCTAGAACACCAGTCTGTCTATACTTTAATTGTGCAAGCTGTTGATCAGTCTCAATGTGATTCAACATGTTTCACAAGTAGTGCATGGATAACTGTGAAGCTCAATGATGTGAATGATAACACACCTGAGTTCAGAACTGCAAACACTATCTACCTTCCTGAAGATACTTCTGTTGGTTCAGTAATAATGACAGTAACCGCTGTGGATCTGGATAGTGGGCTCAATGGCCAGGTTGAATACTCTCTGCAGGAGCACACAAGGAACAAGTTTAGCATCAACGCAACAAGCGGAGAACTTAGCATCATTGGAGATATTGATGGAGAAAAAATGGAAAGGGTTATAATAGACGTGATTGCCTCAGACAAAGGAGAGCTGTCACTATCTTCCTCAATGAGCATTACAGTAATCATTATTGATGTTAATGACAACAGTCCTGTCTTCACAGAAAACATTTATACTGTCACAGTGGATGAAAATATACCTCGTGGCTCAGATTTGCTTGTCGTTTCAGCTGCTGACTCTGATGAAGGCAAAAATGGACAAGTTCGATATATTATTAATAGCAAGGACTTTTACATTGATTCAGTCACAGGATTAATCTCAGTTTCAGGAAAATTGGATCGTGAACAAACCCCATGGTGTTCCTTTGTGGTATTTGCATTGGATGGTGGAAAGAGTCCCAGGACAGGGACAGCTACTGTCACTGTTATACTCAGGGATTTCAATGATTTTGCACCCATCATTCAGCCCATGCAAATGACTTTTCATCTCATGGAGAATACAAATACAGTTCCACAAATTGTACATCAGGTATTTAGCAGATTAACTTTTAAAAATATCTTCTTTGTGTACTGTGGCAGTTGTTTTGATTCTTTGTTTATATTTAATCAAACCAGATTTCTGTAAAGGTACTCTGACCATTCTATTCGTCTTCTGTTTCAAATGTTAGTCTTCCCATGAAAGATGCAATAATTGCTGCCTTAACTGTTTCTTGTGAAAAGCATTATAAGCATTAAAAACTTTCATGGAACATTTCTCCTCATTAATCAGTGACATTGCTGATGACCAAGTTCCTGAGGTGACAGGCAATGCATTGTAGGGAGCATCTCTCAAAACACTTGGCATTTTAGCATGGACACACTTTCTGGTAAATAATACATTGAATTTGGTAGAATATTTGGTTACCTGCATCTGTGCTTTGCCTTATAACTAAGTTTCGTTCATAACTAAATATCAGCCAAGTCTCAATTCAAAGTTGCTAATTAATATAACTGGCATTACTTTTGATGAGACCTTATTTTGCATAACTATTCCTCCAAGTGGGAACACAGGAAACTGGAGATTGGTGTTGAAGTATACAGTGGTCTAGTCAGTTTCACCCTGGTCAACTTCACCACAATTGCATGTAAGAATTTATGGAGATCATCAAGCTGATAGGCAGTGGTTGGATTGTCCAGCAGGACATGGTAAAGGAGGTATTAAATAGGTGCTGTGCTCATAAGAGATGCTTGTTTGAAAGTCTTTTCTTTTTATTACACACCTCCAAAGTAAATAAGACTTGAATCGAGACCTCCTTGCTCAGGGATAGGAACATTACCACTGAGCCACAAAGGTCTACAAGAGCTTGAAATTTACAAAACAAAAAAAATTAAACTAACAATAAATCACCCAAGTAATCAATTAAACAACAAATTAAGAAGCATGCCCATCGGGGGCCATGCAACATCACAAATAGGGAAGGGTCGGAAGAGAGGAAGGGGATTAAATTAAAATGGAGTAATTCTGGTTTCAGCATGCATTTTGGTCCTAATTGCTTATTACCACAATTTGAACTTGGTTGGAGGTGCTAGAAGTGACACTTACACATTTAGCTCTCAAGTATTTACTTGTGGGGAGTATATGTGGACTCCTCACACTCACTCCAGTTAAGGTATGGATGGTTCCAATCAACCTCTGCAGCATGTTTTGATACATTTCTGGATCAGGTGGGACTTAAACCCACTGGTGGGGACACTATCACTGCACAATAAGTGCCCCCAATTAAGGTGTGGAGTCTATTGGCTAATTCACAACAGCTGACTTCAGTGTGGACCTGGAATCTAGTGAGCAGAAGTTCTTGCACTTACACCTCCATTGTGACTGGAAATTCATTGGGATATCCTTGTGGGAGAAGGAGTTCACATCATTCTGTCATCTGCTTCCCCCTCTTCAGTAGTAGCTGCTTCTGATCTGCATACTCTTGCACCCCTTCCATTTCTCTTGTACACCACTGGGGAGCCCCAGCAAACAGGCCATGATAAGCACACTCATTTTCTTGGTTAATCCTATTAGTGTCTATTAGATCACAAGCAAGCACTTGCTCTTTTCCAATGATGCCCTCAGAAAATTTCTGGAATAAATGTTGGTAGTATTGAAGCCTTGACAAAGTTACTCAGAACATTTTCCAAAGTGCTTGAAAAGTTTTCTTCAAACTTCCAGCACAAAGTCAACAGTATATTGTGGTATATTTTTAAGGAGCACTCAAAATCTTCAGCAACACTTATTTGTTGCCAATAGAGCTGCCTGCGTGGAAAGGACATTAAGATAGAAGACCATAAAATATGAGCAGAAGGAGACCATTCTGCCCATCTAATCTGCTCTGCCATTAAATTAGATCATGGCTGATCTGATAATCCTCATCCATACTTTCCTGCCTATTCCCCGCAACCCTTGACTTCCTTACCAATTAAAAATCTGTCTATATCTCAGCCTTGAATATACTTAATTGTCTAGCTTCAACTGCTCTCTGTGTTAAAGATTTCCACAGATGTACAATCCTCTGAGAGAAGAAATTCCTCCTCATTTCTGTCTCAAATGTGTGGCCCCTTATTCTGTGTGTATGCCCTCTGGTTCTCCCACAAGGAGAAGCAATTTTTCTGCATCTACTTTGTCAAGTCCTCTGCGAATCTTGTGTGTTTCAATCAGGTGGTTTCACATTCTCCCATACACCAATGTGTACAGTCCCAATCTACTCAACCTCTCCTCATAAAACAATCCCTCCATGCCTGGCATCAGCCTAGTGAACCTTCTCTGGACTGCTGCCAATGTGAGTATATCTTTCTTTCAACAAGGGGCCCAAACTGTTCACAGTATTCCACTTGTGGCCTGACTATTGCCTTGTACAGTTTTAGCAAAACCTCCCTATTTTTATACTCCATTCCCTTTGAAACAAACATTCCATTTGTCTTTCTCTTACCTGCTGAACATGGATGGTAACTTTTTGTGATTCATGGACAAGTAATCCCAAATCATTCTGTTCTTTAGCTTTCTGCAGTCTTCCTCCATCTAGATAACATTCATCTCCTAACTCTTCCTGTAAAAGTACATAACCTCACATTTCCCCACATTATAGTCCAGCTGCCCAGTTTTTCCCTACTCACCTAGCATGTCTGTATTTCTAAGGTTAACTATTACTCCCTAAAATGCCATTAAACCACTTTAGTGAAAGCTCACAGACAATTTAAACAGAAATCAGTCCCTTTATGATTCTCTGGTTGGTTGTTGCTAGCACAAGCTTCAACTTCTTTACTAAAGTAACAACTCTCGCTATTTCAGCTTAAGATACTTCTGATCATGTTGCAAGCTTTCAAGCTTCTGTTCAAATCTCATTTCAATTATGAATATCTGCCATCAAGGGAAGCATTTTTTGACAGCCCCTTCAAGCGCTAAAGAATCTAAAGAACATGGCCAAAAACATATTCAGCTGAAGCATTGGTTTGGCCTGAGGTGTCACCTTAGCGAACTGTGCATCAAGTTTCTCTTCATAATTACATCATTTTATAATGAAGAAAGGAAATGCTTCTAACAAATGTAAGAAACACAACAGGCCAATTCATGAATAACATGTTCCCATAAACATCAAAAAGATGTGTGATCAAATAATTTATTTTAGATGGCGGTTGAAATAAAAATGTTGGCTTGAACGGCTTGCCTTTGAATAGTCTGGTCTTTTATATCCATCTAAGTAAGTTTGATCTATTGTGGTACCGGAGACAGTATAGAGGCTCCTTGGTACTGCACAGTTAGGCCACTTCTACCTCCTTCCAAAAATCCACAAACAGGACTGCTTGGGCTGACTCATTGTTTCAGTCTGCTCCTGCCCCACAGAACTCATCTCTTCCTACCTTCACTCAATTTTTTCTCCCCTTCTGTGATTCCTCCAACGTTTTACGTCAGTTTCGGAATTTCCAGTTTGCGGGCTCCAGCTGCCCGCTGTTCACCATGGACATGCAATCTCTTTACATGTCCATCCCCCATCAGGATTGGCTTAGAGCTCTCTGCTTCTTCCTGGAAAAATGGCCTGAACTGTCCCTATCCATCACCACCCTCCTCTGCCTGGCCAAGCTCATCCTCACCCTGAATAACTTCTCTTTTAACTCCTCCCACTCTCTACAGGTCAGAGGAGCGGCCATGGGTACCTGCATGAGCCCCAGTTATGCCAGTCTCTTTGTAGGATATGTGAAACATTCCTTGTTCCAGTCCTACTCCAGCCCCCACCTACAACTTTTTCCCCGGTATGTCACTGACATCAGCAGTGCTGATTCCCTCTCTCCTCTAGAATTGGAAAAGTTTATCTATTTCACTTCTAATTTCCACCCCACTCTCACTTTCGCCTGGTCCATTTCTGATTCCTCCCTTCCCTTCCTCGACATCTTTGTTTCCATTTCTGAGGATACGCTGGCTACATATCCACTACAAACCCACTGACTCCCACAGTCACCTTGACTGTACATCCTCACATCCTGCTTCCTGTAAAGACTCTATTCCACTCTCCCAGCTCCTTTTTCTCCATCACGTTTGTTCTGATGATGCCAACTTTGACAAGTGGGCCTCCGAAATGACCACCTTCTTCCTCAACCGAGGATTCCCCAGCACTATAGTTGATAGGACGCTTAGCCAGCTCTCACCCATCTCCTGCACTTTGTCCCTCCCACTGTAGCATTAGGGTCCCCTTTGTCTTCACCTACCATCCCACCAGCACTCACATCAAAAAGATGCTTAGCTGCCGTTTCTGCCATGTCCTTTGGAATGCCACCACCAGACACATGTTTCCCTCTCCTCCTTTGTCAGCCTTCCACAGGGACCATTCTTTCCAGTCACCTTGGTCCTCTCCTCATCCACTCCCAACATCCTCCTACAGCCCCAATGCACCTTCCCTATAACCACAGAAGGTGTAGTACCTGTCTATTTATTCCCTCTCTACTCGCTATCCCAGGCCCCAGACACACCTTCCAGATGAACCACTCAGTCTAGTCTACTGTATTCACTGCTCACAATGTGGTCTCCACTACACTGGGGAAGTGAAGACTGGGTGACTGCTTCGCAGAACACCTGCGTTCTGTCCATGAAAAAGACCCTGAAGTCCCAGTTGCCTACCACTTCAACACTCACCTTATTCCCTGGCCAACATTTCTGTCTTGGGCTTGCTGCAGTGCTCCAATGAAACTCAGCACAAGCTGCAAGAACACCTCATTTTCTGCTTGGGAACCCTGCAGCCTTCTGGACCTAACATCAAGTTGAACAATTTGAGGGCTTCAGCACCTTTCCCCATGCTTTCACCCAGCCCCATACCCATGGCCTTCTCATTACACCGGCTGTTACCACACACCATTCTCTGTGACTAATAGTCCCTGTTAGCGGCTATTCATTCTCCTCGGCTGGTATTTAACCACTCCTTTGACTGTCCAACTGTTTTTCTCCCTCTTCGGGCTCTATCTCCACCTATCATTTACTCCTCTTCCCCCCTCCCCCATACAGACTATCTTCTGTATAAAAGCCATTGTTTTTTCCTAGCTACCACCAGTTCTGAAGAAGGGTCACTGGACCCGAAACATTAACTTTGTTTTCAGCTACTGCCAGACCTGCTGAGCTTTTCCAGCAATTTCCGTTTTTGCTACTATTATCCATCCCCTGCTAGTGAACATGTAGCCGTTTCCGGAATGCATTTATAGTAGAGCTTTGATACCAATGAGAATTCTGCTCATGACGTTTGGATTCAAATTTTTTTAAAGAGAGATACAATTGTGTATTGCTTCCTGTTATTTTTGTTAGGTGAAAAGAAAGATTCTAAAGGGTGATTTGCCATTTTGTCACAATGACATTATTCAAGAATATTTGATTGACTGTGACTTAAATCAACACAATATGTCTTCAGTA